ATAGTCGCCTTCTCCCAATTTGAAACCCGATTGCTTCAAATCACAGTGAATATTGAAATCGGCCAATCACTGATGCCTAACAACAAGAATAAAAAGTTTAATATTCCCGTTGTTAGGCAGGGAATTTATAATGTTTATCATTATTCACCGAAAAATAAAAATATTATACAATAGGAGTAGAAAAAGATATTTCACTTGAAATTGATGCCCAGATAAATTTTATTTTTATAATGTATAAAATAAAATATAAAATATTTTAGTTTAATTTATTATACATACAAAGACAATTAAAAATATTAACCAAGATACTATCTAAATTTATTTCAATTTTTTCTTAAGCATTCTCCATCTTTGAAATTAATCTATAAAATTATCGTCAAATTAAAAAAAACGTATGCACCGATACTTTTATTTTTCCTGAGAAATATCAAATTTTATTACCCGACCACCTCCCACTGCATATTTCAAGCCAAGCGTGTATTAAGATTATAAATTAACAATTATAAGGTCTTCTCCGCAGGTTAACAAACTTGACGAAAATAAAATCATAAACAAATAGGAGATTTAAAAAATGTAAGAATAATATTTTATAGTTTATTTTTTTATAAAATTCTTAAATGTACATTTAAGCTATAAAACATTTTACTAATGGTTTAAAAATAAACTAATTTACTATACTAAGTTTTTTATTATTATTATATTATGTAAATGTATTTTTTCCTAAGAACTGTCAAAGCTATTTAAAAAGTGTAATTTTTTAAGGGTTTAAAAACAAGCAAACAAAATCATTAAGAATATATTCATATATTTTTTTTGCTTATCATGAGAAATTGTTTGCTTCTCATGAGAAATTTAGGGTATTTTCTTTATAAAAACACTGTTAACCACTACTTTAGCAGTATACCGGTATAAAATCAAATTATCAGGACGGTCTAAATTATGCGTTCTAATCTGATGATTGTAGATGCTTTAGACGATTGTTTTTATGAATAGAAAATTGTTGCTGAAACAATGGCCTAAGCCAACAATAATAACAAAAATAACATACCCGGGTACACAGTGGTTTGCTGAGGGGTCTCAAAACAGTAAAAAAATAAACCATTTTAAAGTGAATTCAAATTTTAGTGCCTATATAAAATTGAATATTTGGTAAATCTTTATTCTAATAATTATTTTAATTGAATATAATAATATATCTTAAGAAAACTTTTGTTTACAGATATAATGACTCCTTAAAAATTTCTTTTATACACGTCTCCTTTTCTAAATGTTTTCTCCCGGTGCTGCTCACTTGGAGCTTATCTAGGATCTTTATTGTTTTATTGGCATATTTAGAATAATTTGTTCGTGATATAAATGTATTAGGCATGATATCTTGATCAAGTAATAAGGTCAGTCGGGTGTTCTGTCTAGGAAAACTTTAACGTTCATTTTCAACAAATTAATTTGTCAATTATGCAACAAAAATACAGCACAAATGTTATATAGTTATATAGCCTGTTTTTTCTATATTTTTATTGCATTGTTATTGAATTTAAAAAAATTGTAAATACTACACTGAGAAAAGTAAACTCTTATTTTAATGTTTTAATTATAATTGTTCATATTGAATGTGCAAAAACTGTTCAGTTAATATATTAACTGAACAGTTTTTGCACATTCAATATGAACAATGTGCATAATTATTTTATTTAAAATTCTCGAAATGTTTCCTACAGGTTTTTACATTAAACTCGTAGTTTTTGAATATACATTTGTAATACTACAAAAATGTACAATAATTTCAATTAATGCAGTTCAGATATTATCTTGTATAACAACCTCTGATTTCTTTTTTATTTGTTTAAAAAAAAAATGTAATTTAACTAAAATAAAAATAACATTTTCGTAAGTGTTAATTTAACAAACTCATTTTTCTCAGTGTATACTAAATATGCATTGGGTTTTCTGTATTGCCAGGGTTATTTTGACGAGCTCTAATCCTTCTTTTAACCTTATCCCACAAGTTCTTGATTGTGTTAAGATCAGGTTAACAAGAAGGCCACTCTCCAGGGGCTAATCCTGAATCCACATACCTAGGTAAGAGCTCTTAGGGGTTGTCTAATGAAAATCAAATAATTATTTTTACCAATTATAATGCCACCCCAAAACATGATCCTCCTCCTTTGTATTGGGGGGGCGATCGTCCAGCTCGAAATATGATTGGAGCCCAATTCTAGATTAATCGGAAAGAAATTTCTCCAATCTTCAATTGTACAGTTTTGATGCTCCAAACACCAATTTAAAGAGGCATCTCTATTTTGGACTAATACTTGTAGAACCCTTAACTGTCTTCGGCGTCTTTTTATTTATGCTGTATAATGTACCTTCATATAATAGCAAGGTTGCAAAAAATTGTAGATACATAGAAAGCATGCCATAAATTAACGCTTGCATTGACTCTAAAGGTGGAAACACTACACTACATAAACAAAAACCTATTATTCTTTTTTAAATTCCAATTTATATTTGTTATGTGTTCTCTATAAAATTTGTTTTGATATTTTTTTCTTCATTTTTGTAATAAAAGTATTGTTGAGCATATACTGCTTTTGATATATTAAATTACATTAAAAATAAAGAAATGTGTAGAAAGTACAAATATACACTAAAAACCAAATTAAAAATATACAGGGTGGCCCATCGAAAACAGTCCAGCAAGGTTTACGGCTTGGTATGTGAAAATTATACAAAAATCTTTGGACCCGTATAATTTTCTTTTTAGGGGGACATATTTACACACTAATTTCTTTACTGTAACTTTAACATCTTAGCGGGGGTGGCATTTACTATTATTTTTTCAAATGGAAATGGGTATGTTGTAATACATCTTTTGAAAGGGCATTCAATTTTCTTTAAAATTACGTTTATTAAATTTGTGCTGTGGGGTGGCGAGAAATTTAATTTAATTTTATTGAATAGTAGGTACTTACGTATTATCCTATGAAATTTTAAAAATTTTCGCCGTTTACCACCATACATTAATACAGCAACTGTTCAAGTGTTCTCGGATATTGTAAAGAATATCGGGTGTTGGCATTATTAGTTATGCGGTTTCGTAAATCTTCTAAGGATTAGGCTTGGTGGCATAAATTTTGGATTTTATATTTTATGTCTCCACAAAAACAAATCAAGGGTATATAAATCCGGTGATCTTGCGGGCCATTCGATAGCATCCCTTCTCCCAATACATCATCCAGAAACTGCCGCACAGGTAATGCATAATGGGGAGGAGCCCCGTCTTGATGAAATATCGGATTTTCTTCAAGGTAACGTTTTTTGTTTTCCATAATTTTAATCAGCGCTGGGTTGACGGCATTCTCAAACAATTCCAAGTAAGTAGCTCCATTTGAATTTCCCGGTAAGAAAAATGGTCCAATTATGTGTTCACCAAAAATACCGGCCCAATTTTTGAGGATGTTGGGTATGAACCTCATGGAAGATATCTGGATTCGTGTTGGACCAATAACGACAATTATGACGATTTACAATGCCATTGAGAAAAAATTAACATTCGTCTAAGAAGCAAACATTAAAAATGAGTTGGGAGTATTTATAATTATTTCATACATTATTTCACAAAATTGTTAACGGCGGTCATTATCAACTTCATGCAATTCTTGAAGAAGCTGAATTTTATCTAGGTGCGATTTATTTTTTTTTAGAATTCTCGCGAAAAGTTTTCTGGTACTTAATGTAGGGCCAAAGTAATTTCACCCAGAACACCTACTTTTTATGCCTCATATTTCGTTTTCCGGAATTTTGCTACTAATTCTAGAATGTAACCATGATGTCATGTCTATTTGCATGCCTCTCATCAAACAAAGTTATAAATACAATTCAATAATTTTCACTCTCTTTGCAATAGAATAAACCATTTTTTATCAAGAACAAAAATAATGAACTATCCACATCAACTACTTTACTGAAGATAAATTCAATTTGTCGACTGATATTTGTTACTTTAACAACAATTTTTTCAACGAATTTTTTGCTTTACGAAATTTGTAAATAAGCGGTCCAGTAAAATATTCGGAATTTCATTGCTCGGCGACGAGTAGCTCAAATTTAAAAAACGAGCCGAATTTTATAGAAAAGGTAATGCCCTTTCAAAAAATAAGGGTGAATGCCGCCCCCACCGTAAACCTTCCTGGACTGTTTTCGATTGGCCACCCTGTATATTCTTTATTTAATTGCAATTTTTGTTTTATCACATTTTAGCATTTTATAGGTTTTCTCATAAGTATTTTTTATTTTACTTTATATATCAATTTTTATTATCATTAAAAATGATTTATTATGACACACCTAAGAAGTCAGTAACCAATAGTTATAATAACAGTGATTAGTTGCATTTCATCAGAGGGAATTTTCGTTTTAAGAATCGCTGGGAAAGTGGGAAGTGTTAATTATAGATGAACGTAACAGACTTGCATATTAATATTTTTCAGAACAAATGTGGATGTATACATAGCATTGAGTAAAGAAGTGGGGACACACTTTACTCAATGTACATAGTTTATTATTGTGAATCAAAATAACATGTAATTATACATTTAAGCTAACGATTCCAGTCGTTATTAAAATGGGTAGATTTTAGTAGGACATATGTGAGTTTATTTAGTGAGAAATTGGAACTTATTAGTTAATAATGCTTGACAGGAAGTTTTTTAACACAATGAAACCATATTACCGATACATTTTAAAAATCGACTAAAAATTTTCATTTCTTAAAACGATAACCATATTACCGATACATTTAAAAAATCGACTAAAAATTTTCATTTCTTAAAACGATTAGGTAATCATTTTCAGAGTTATTTTATTTTCGAAAATTCGGCAAATAAAAATCAAAAATTATTTTGATTATTCTAAGAAAATCTTCACCTGCTTCCAAAAATTAAAAGATCCTATTGTCGATTAAACAGCACGCCGAAAGTTGTTTTTACCTTTTTCGGGTCATGGGACATGTGGGCAGATATGCCCAGCTGTCTGACTTATCGTTGCCACATTCGAATGACGACGTCGACAGCACTACGTGTGTTTTAAAGCGCGTACTCTGTAATTAACAGAGATATTTCATAATTCACCGAAACGATATTTGTGTGGTTTGCGTTGTTTTTAACTTGGTTATTTTTCCTTGAAGTGCACTGTGTTGGTGGAGTAATGTGATATTTTTCTTTTTCTTTTTTTTTTTTGGATATCAGAATCAAGGTACTAAAGTGTTAATGCTATTATGATTTTTAACTTAATCTTACTAATCTAGGATGGAAATCTAACGGAGTACTCCGATGTAAACCATGCTATACGCACTGTATTCATCTGATAAGCTTCCTAGAACATCTAATTGCCTAACGCTAACGCATCAATGGATCGAATTTAAATTAGACCAATTACCGCTTCCTTTCCATTTACCTTTTTCTGATTGTTTTTCCTTTAGATTGCAATAAAAAAGTGGCAGAATTTATTTATTAAATCCGAGATAAAATTAGCAGAGTTTATCTAATTGAGCAACAAAAAATTAGATGGGTTGGAACCAAAAAAAAGGATACAGTATTACAAAAAATGATTGTGATTTTTTCATATCAGCTCTAGTTTTCGAGGTATCATATTTTTTAATTTTAATTAATTTTTATATTTTTTAAATATTAAAATACTTTAATTAAAAAAAAAATAACGATGCATCATGGAAAAAGATTTTTTGTGCGCCCTAAGCCATGTATAATTTTTTTAATTTTCAAAATTCGATGTTAGCCAATCTAAGAACTGGCAGTGAAATACGGGTTAAGGCTAATTTAATATTTAAAATTGTCTCGAAAACATCAATTTGAATTAACTTAAAAATAGTCAGAATTTATGAGCGACCTTTAAAAAATCATATTTTCCGTGTACAAAAATCTACCGCAGAGAGCAAAAAAATCAGAAATCGCTCTATTGTAAGTCTCCACTAATGCGTCGGCCTTTAAACTTTGAGCTCAGCACACAAATACTTACTTCTCAGCCTTATGACATTAATACTGCACTGCTAAGCAAAACTGCAGTATCTACAATATTAAGTGATAAAGGACAAAAGATAATTTTTAATGTTTTTAAAAATTAATATGATCTTTTGTCCCTTATTACTTATATAGATACGGTTTTACTTACACAGTAAAAAAATATTTGTTAATTGTAACCAAATATTAACCAGATATTAGGTTTATTTAGGTACACATAACTTTATGTTAAGTTTACAACCAACTATAATGTTTTAAGTAATTGAATAAATAGTTTGTATTTATAATATTTTGTAGATTTAATAAAAAATTCATATGTCAATAATTCAACCATAATTCTTGTAATTTTCAAAAAGGACCTTATTTTTACAAACCTTTTTCTGGACCCAGTAACAAAAGTATTTGTTGGAAATTGGACTTAAATGAAAAGAATTTTGATAAGAAATGTTGCTTTATTAATCAATTTCCTAAACAAAAAACACATACCTGCATAAATGAAAACAAAAATAAAATACACACAATTAATTAACATCCCATTCTGAAATCATCAAAGTAAAAAGAAATTTGACCCACTCACTCAGTTCACTGTATCCCCTAATTTTAGTTTGAAACGCAGTGATGGCATCTTTTTTCGGATACTTCGCACTTCGCACACTCGTGCGTATAGGTATAAAGAATCCTAATAACGATAATAACAGATTTCTGGTAATATATTATAAATACTCTGAACAGTTGTTACGAACACGTTACGCTGAAGTCAGTTGAACTTGCGTATTGTCAGTAGGAAATATTTTGATTGACTGCCTGAAATCACGTAAGTATACTTTTTCAACGAAATAATTTTTTAAACATTAACAAAATAATCTGTAACCTTTAAAAATAACAAAATGCTTACAAAGTTGCATATTACCTTTATAAAATACAAAACTGTCGGTAAAATATTTTCCTTTGTTAAAATAATTACAAACTCTGTTTTTTTACAAAAAATTATGTTAAAATTTTACAAAATAAAATTAACAATCTACTAAGTCATGTTAACAAATCTGAATTTTATAACAGTGTAGCAGGGCAGAATAACTATTAAACATTGTTTACATATTGAAAAAAAATCCAAGAAATCCATGAAAAAACAATATAAGAAAACTAACCTAAAAAGCTAAACACTGATCTGTCAACAACACATTTTAATTTTAACAAAAATGTTTTTTTTTCCACAGTGTATTAAAAAAGCTATGTCCCACACAGTACCACCCAATTTATGGTACGAAAATTTCGTGATGATAAATTGGATGGTTTAGGGCTTTAATTTGTGTGTTTATTTTAAGTTATAATTATTTATGTAGGTTTAACCTTTATTAAATATTGCCTAAATAAAATGTCAGCTTCACAATCGGCTGAAATAAATATTAAGTGACTTATACAATGCTGTTGCCGGAAGGTTTTCATTTTTCTTGCATTACATTATCTTATTGTTATATAAGGCATACCCACATGTATATCATTTCTTCTGAATCCGACCAACGTAAGAGATTCGCCCCCGCTAAGATTATTGTTATTTAAATTATTTTCACTAAATATCAAACATTTTTACGTTTAAGTGCTTTTGCAAATGAATGAATGATTTTTTAAGAAAATAGCAAACATAAAATTTTTATAGATTCTAAAGATTAACATTTTATTTCCAGCCTATAAAAGTAACAGTAGCTATACAAATTTACTACCAATAGTAAAAACTTGTTAATGTCCACTCCCATTAAAAATAATTATAATTAGACTATAAATTACAACACCTAATAATTATTAAGCTAATACTTTTTATTTTAATTTGATTGATTTTTATTGGCATTTATTTTCCATAATCATATGCTAATGGCTTCATCTAACATAAAAAAGTAACTGTTATATTCCCAATTTGTGCGAAAGATTCTAAATTTGTCATTTCCGTTCGAATTTTTAAATATTAATGAATATTTTCGCTAAAAGACCAAAAATAAACTTGACTGATTTATACATTACACCCCACAGTAAATATACTATGTTTAAGTCCATATTGTTTGCTGGATAATTTATGCTTACACTTTTTTCAGGTTGATATCATAAACAATTGATAACACACCTTGAAAAACCGAAAACGCACGAAACATAACGAGAATCGAGCCGACGACGAAGCGTTCGCACGCTTCGAATTAAAACCAGAGCAGACGGGCAAAAACAGACTTTGAGAATGGAAGTGGTGGCAGCGCCCCCAAGCGGCGGTGGAGTGCCGCCTTTTCACGATCACGACGTTCGCGAGTGGTCGCGACTCGACAGTTTGACGGGAGTGCTCGAACGAGCCCGACTCGAAACGGACAATTGGACCGCTAACACAAGCAACTCCAGACACAAATACAATAAGGTACGTGTTTTTCACTTATAAATAATAGAGTTTTTAAATGTTAAAACTCTAAATTTTTAACATTAACATTGCCCCTTATTATTTTAATTAAACTTAACAATTATTAATACCTTAAAATATTAAAATTACCTTAAAATATGATTATGTTAAGAAAATATTTTATCCTTCCATTTTTTTTATTACTATAATTGCAAAATAGTATTAAAAATATTATTATATTATTATGTAATTTTTTTGTGAAAATCATTGAAATTGAAAACTAAAAATAGACTAACAATCGATATATAGGCAGTTTTTCACAGTAAAAGAGAAGAGAATATTTTATGGGCACTTAACGCAAAATTTTTAACGCTTTACTTCGGCGAAATCAAAAGGTCAGTAAAAACGTTCATATATTCATTTAAAATATTGACGCCAAGAAACTATTAAATACTTTTATATTTTTGTATTGATATAATAAAATAATTTTTACATTCAGGCACTCTATTTTAACAATTGTTTGACATTTGTCAACTGTCAATTAACTTAAAACCAACTTCAGCCCATGACTAAAAATCTGTTGCTAACTTCAGCCCGTGACTAAAGCGCCATAAAGCCACAACTTATCAATGTATATTTAAAAGGTCACTTAGTGTCATGGAAAGATGTACAATAATGAGCGTTTTAAAGGTGGGAGTAGAAAATAGTATATTATTTTGTCGCACGCGGACAATTTATAAAACGAGCGACGAAGGAGCGAGTTTTGTAATGGACGAGTGCGAAAAAAGGTCTTATGATATGAGTTCTTTATGCTATTTTATCTATTGTGCATGCAAGAATTCTATAAAAAAAAATATTTTTTACCTTAAATTTAATTTGGTCGAATTTTACTTTAGATAGTTGGTATCACAGTCATTGTTTTTGTCAAGATCGATTCGCCATGCTATCCTTAATTTACTTATTTACAATAAGCGGCTGTTAATGTTAAAGAAGAAAAAAAGGATTTTCTTTGGTGTTAAACAGAATTTATTGCCAGAAAAGTCTCGTAAGTACTAGAAAAATCATAAAAATATTATAACCAATATGCAAAATATTATGCTGTTTAAAGTATAGCCAACCTATAAAATCAAAATTTTGGGTGGGATAATGTATCTCATTACAACTCCAAAAACGGTGTTATAATGAAGTCATTATGAACGCAAAATAGATAAATATATTTATACTCGACTCAACACATCAAGAAATACATTCCAATTTTGTAATTGTCACTTTCCGTTTAACTCATTATCGATCTGAAGGATAATTTCCTTACAAATTTAAGGTCAAAGACTAAGAAACGGTTCTTTGCACCGCGATGATGTTCGAAGACGAATTAAAAAAATAACGTTCCCTCACTATATAGATAGATACGTTATTTATTTTCGTCGTACGGTAAATATGCACACAACCGAGGCTGTATATTTTGTCTGGTCACGTATTCTCTATCTCCTATAACAATGTAAATTACCGGTGACATATGAAATGCCTGTTTGGTAAATTTTAAATCATTCTCATCTAACGGTTTAACAGTTACCGGCTTTAAATTTTGCTGTCTTTACTTAGCAACTTTATTAAGGCTTAATTTAAATTTAATTAATACGTTTCATACATTTACTTTTGAATTTATGGCTAAAATGTGCAACTATAAATGCAAGTAAAGTATAAATATAATGCTATTTTTTAGGAGTTTTTATGAAAAATACACAATAAAAACGTATGTGGGGTATTTTACGTGAAATCCGAATGTTCTAAGTTAGAACTTCTAACCTTTCCAATGGGATGTTCCCATTTTATATTTTTTTCGAACTTCTAAAGAAAAAAAGGACCCCTATGTTTGTGGTCTGATTTAAGAATAATGTATATAAATTATTCAATAACAAACATTTCATCTAATCATTATTCTTAAACTAGACAAATACATAGGGGTATTTTTATATATAATAATAATAATAATAATAATAATATATAATAATAATAATAGTATACTTCGAAAAAGTATATAATTTGGGTTTAAAAAATTTGGATTAAACGTGAAATACATGTATGTATAAACGTAACTCTTATAAAAGTATAATAACCTAGATCTTTAGATTGCATCGTCCCAAATAGCGTCAGCATTTTTTATATAATTTTATTGTTATTATGTATTGGAAAACGTTTAGAAGAGCAGATACAGAAGCAATTAAGGTTATGTCATCTAGTTTATCGTTACTAGTACAAAGAATCTATTGCTTAACCGTTAATTGGCCCATGTCGAACAAATGGCATCCGAGAAAAATCAGTTCAAATTACAGGTTGCTATATATGCTACTAATGCTACTAATTTTCTATGGTATTTAATTTTTTAAGTTCATTTTTAAACTAAATCTAATTAAATTAAATCATCATATTATATTATTATTATTATTACAAAAATATTCTTTAACTAATAATAAAACAATTATTATAATATTAGGTCAACTATAAAAGGCCATTATTTTTGTATAAGTTATAAATAATAATAGATATTTACTAAACAATAGAGTAGATAATGGTGAATTTATTATATTTTTTATATTTATTATATTGTTTAATATACATATAATTAAATGCATTTGACCTAGTTTATTATAAAAATATTCTCTTAACAAGTTTAAAAAATGGCGAAAACGTCATACTTTGATTTAAAGGAGATAGGAGGCATACCATGGTATGAGGTATACCATGGTATGAGGTGCACCTCAAGTGTTTCCACCTAAAAGTTGTCAATCTGGATTTTGATGAAACTTTGTAAAATCATAAGACTATCTAACTATATTCTCTGTGTAAAATGAGGGTCGGTTAGTATTACTGGTTGCCGATATACAGGGGCTTGAACTTTTTGCATGCCTTTAATTTTCTTTAAATTTTAACACCAACCAAAAAGTTATCGATTTTAATCGATGGATAGTGATAGTGATAGTGATAGTGATAGTGATAGTGATAGTGATAGCATTTTTTGGTACTTTATGATGAAAGTAATTTTAACTAAATAAAAACAATTTCCTGAAAAAAAATCCATATTAAAATATATTTTTACGATTTTCGGGACATATTTAAAATTTTCAAGTGGGCGGAAATAATAAAAATAAGCTTAAAGTATGCCAGAACCGCGCGCTGATCAAGGATAACATTAAAAAAAATAAAATTAATTAATTACAAAAATCGTACTTTCTTTTGTTGTAAATGTTAATTTATTAATTATTTAATATATTTATACACGGCAAAGGTTATTATTATTGCAACAAAAACTTTCTTTGCGCATTTTTAATTTGTAAAAATGCAAATTTTAACATATTATTTTTTGTAGGCCCTTGTTAATAAAATAAAAATACACTAAAAAGATACTTATGTAAGTTTAGTAGTGTACAATACATTTCAATGAGTGGGAAACGACCGTTTAGGAGAACACAAAATCGTGTTTAGACTAACAAATTTTCCTACACTTAAAAGCCCATCTGTTTGTTAGTATTTAGGAAACAATGTAGTTTAAACGACACCGCGTATAAAGCCTTATTTGCATGGAATTTAAATTTATACGTTTTGCATTTCCTGCGCCATAATTTCTGGCTTCTTACCCAGTCGATAAATAAAAGATTTAAGCTTAAAGTCAAAAATCGAAAGCACATAAACTAAGATAAACAATTTCGGCTTAACGGGTGCTTTCACTGATTTTAAATAATGGCACTTATTTTTAAAATTATCGTGGACGTACTTACATATATGTATAGGTACATCATTCGAACCAAATAAACGTTATTTCTTGTAATTGTGTAAGAAACTGTGATTTAAAAAAAATCAACATTTATTTCCTCATTCTATAAGCCTTATATGTATTGTGAAAAGATGATACAGCCTTATTGGATTAAAAGTATTTTAATAAGTTCCTATTTATTAGGAATGTTGTAGATATTTGTTATTTACTGTTATTTTATTCATGGTATTTTGTTTTTATTAACAGAATTAACCAATAGATGTATAAATATTTAATAAGTTTTATTTCCTATATAATATACAGTGTATTCCGAATTGACTTTGAGAATTAGTACATTAGCTAACAGGCGGAGAAAGCGATTATTTAAAGCCGAGCTCAGAATTTGCTGCCGAGGCCTTAGCTGAGGCTGCAAATCTGATGGATGCAGTAGTTAATTTGTTTCCTCCGCCTATTTTTCCAAGAATTTAATAATTCTGTTCTTACTTACATTGAAATTATCGAGTTTGCAAAAGTTTGTCAGGTTTGACGTTCGACATATGTTATATTATAGGTTATGTAAATCAATTTATTCTGCAGTGACCAGTGAGTTGCATTTTCTTTGCTGATTTCGAGCTAAACGCGATTAATTTATTTTCATTATTGTACAACAGTGTATAATAATTTGACTTTTAAACTGCGTACAATGTCTTTCAATATATGCCTATGACTCATAAGTTATGAGTGTTATAATATTAAAATTGTTATACGCTTAAAAAAATATTAGTACCACTTTTATTTTCTGCATTATCGGCCTACTTGTCCTAAAATTATTTTTTACCAAATCTCAGTCCAAAAGGGATCGGTCGCTAAGTTAATCTAAGAAAAAAAATAAAAAGTTGTAGAAAGTGGTCTTTACGTTGATTTCACGAAAAAAATTCTATTTAGATAAACTATTTTGCATTATAAGTCATATCCTATTTTAGCAAAATAAAAGTAATACTACAAATTAAAGTAAATAGCCTTTAACACAATTAACAATTTTAAATAATTTAACTAAAAACCTCTTTAAATAGTGCCCCACCTAAATTACTACAAAATTACACCGTTTTTCTAAATCTTTTGTTTTTTAATCTTTCCAAATCATTGTTAAAGTTGTCTTCATAAACTTTTTAAAGTTTGCTTCAAAAGTAAAAATCCATAATTCTTAAATTTTGACTTCTTGGTGGGTAAATAATTCCTTATCAAAAGAGTTCAGTGTGGGCTGCAACCGTCTTGCTGATAATAAATGTTGTCTACTCCCACCTTTAAAACGCCTATTATCGTACATATTTCCATGACACTTAGTGACCTTTTAAATACACATTGACAAGTTGTGGCTTTATGGTGCTTTAGTCACGGACTGAAGTTAGCAACAGGTTTTTAGTCACTGGACTGTAGGGCTGAAGTTAGTTTTTAGTTAGTTGACAGTTGTCAAATGTCATACAATTGTTAAAATAAAATGCCCTTTTGGTAAAATATGAATAAATGAAAAAATTATTATATTATCTCTATACAAAAGTATTAAATAATTTCTCATAGTTTATATCAACATTATACTGACCTTTTAATTTTGTTGGCAGTAAGCTAGATTTAACTTAATTTCTGGTGGAGACTCCACCGTGAAGTGCCCATACAATATTTTCTTTACTTTTACTGTGAAAAACTGCTTCTATATCGGATTAAACGGTCCATTTTCAAGGAATACATTTCGATTTACACGTAAAAATTCAACAATTTCACCGGCGCGCCGGTAATACAGATTACCAAGTTGGTTACTTTATTGTTATATATGCCAGTGTATAAAAATATTTAATTTAAATAATTTTTAGATAATAATAAGAATTTGTTGTAAAAAACTATAGTAGACAACTCGTTTATAAACTTTACTAGACACTCATTTAATTAAGCACTCGCTCGTGACTAAATTAAATTCGTGTCTAAAATGCGGTTTTTAAACATGCACGGAGAGAAATGTAAAGTAAATTTTAGATAGTAAAAAATATAGTAAAATTTACTTTAACAAATAACAATATTATATATTCGTCAATACAATACTAAGATTGTAATACAAAATACTATTTTTTATTAAACAATATTACTAAATCAAAAATGTATAATACCTATATATTTTAATTTTTAATATGTTCGTATAGTAAATTGATTTTACTATCTACAAATAGTTATATTTGATTTAATCAAATGTAAGGTTTACATCTAATATTATAATATATTACACATTAATAAAAAATATAGTAAAAATAAAGATACTTTTATGTTTAAGATAAATAAGCAATACATATATTTAAATATAATATACAATATAGTAACTCATGACATTTTAAACATTCAATTTTCTTATTTTCTTCAATAAACTTTCTTGACCCATTACTGGTAATACTTATAAGAAAGAATTGAACCTACTTGGTTGCATAGTATGTACCGATTGCGGCAAAGGCCACGTCGCGACGCGTCGTTAGACGGCGTGGATCACGTGATGTTCTTACATCTCGCCTCTGTTGGCTTACCAACCATATTATATAAACTCAGGTATTTCTTTGTTTTGGGTGTGTTCCACTACTACAAGTTGCTCGACAGTGTCGTGTCGACACTGATGATACCCAATATAGGTCAAAACACCTGTCTGTCGGTATTTGAAGTTGATGAACGTTCTCAAAACAAAAAACTTTGGCGAGGTGTAGGTTCAATTCTTTCTTATAACATTTTTGTATATTAAAAAGTACAATAAATATGTTACAATTTTTAATTGTTAACATATAAAAATATTCGATTTTAAAAAATTTTATATTTAAAATGGCAACATAATATTTTAAAATTTACTATACTTATTAGAAATGGAAAAAATCTAATTTTAATAAGAATTAAAAACAAAATTGGTTGAGAATAATAATATTTTACCTTTAGGTAATAATTTTACAATAGCTCCAAATACACACTCTCTTAAAATGAAATTCTAAAAATTTTACTATTTGAATTAGTAGGTACCAGCATTGTTTACTAATAAAAAAGTCATTTTTACTTTTAAATAGTTATTTTTTACTACTTAAATAGTTAAAGTTTGACTAATTTAAAGTTAGCATCTTTGACTGTTTCTGAGAGTGAAAAGTAAATAATTTCTTAAATCGTTTGCGGCCAACTACACATTATTGTTAGAGTTAAATGCATATAGGCTTCACGGTTAAATTGCCCATAAAAGATGCAAAAAGTTAAGCTCAAAACAGTAACACAAAAAAGATATTGAACTTCAAAATTATTAACAATATTTATTGACAAATACAACTAATTTTTATAAAAGTGAATTTAGCTCATCGCGATGCATCGGTCAGACATCCGCTTGAGAAGCAAAAGACCCGAGTTAAAACCCCGACTGGGTTACAGAACTTTTTCTATTCTTATTCATATTATTTGCAAATGTGATTTTCTTACTCCAAATTATGCTCTGGGATTTTGCCAAAACTGTTGCCGAATAGTCTTCGTCAAATCCTTTTTCCTCTATATCTTTCGATTTTCAACGGTCCCTGTCCATGGAAATTTGTTCGCGATACTTTTAACGGTAACGTCGCTTATTAAATTAAAATTTGTGGATCTGTCTCACCATCCCAACGATTTTTCTTCTTCGTAGGTTCACTAAGCAACTTAAATCCCTTTTAAATAAATTTCATGAAAATCCGTTTAGCCGTTTTACCATGAAGAGGTAATTTAAAATTAAGTTTTATTGCATAAGCATATTTAAAACGGACCAAGATGCATCTCAAAAAAAAAAAATTGTTAAATAAGTTTTCATATTGTTCTCATGTGTAATCTAAAGTTATATCAATAAAAAAATGCATAAAATTATGTATTTTTCAGTTCTTTAAAATTAAAATTTATTAATATTTTTGTTGCATATCGGTTTGGTCTTTAAAAGTTATACTCCAGATTACGAGCCAGTTGCTATCAACTTTTCATTGTGTTATTTAATTTGCAAAAGATCTCGTGGAGGTGGATTATTAATAACAATTAACGTGTTCAGTGTCGCGCCAAGTTACCTCTTGTTTACGTTCGAGTAAAACCTTAAAAAGACTGGTTTTGCTACACAAATCGTGTCAAAATGCACACACAGTGACTGTGATTCAAGTTAAGTTTTAGCCAATATGGTTTAAAATTATCCTAAAGGAAAATCCAAAGGTAAATACTTGCTTATAAGTTTGCACTAGAATTTTAAAATTGCATTTTTTTGAAATAGTCAAGTAACTATTTAATGGAAATCAGCTGTTTTAATGGAAATTAATCAAGGCTACATAGTTGTATTAATTATTTAATTAATGTTAACGGATTTCACTATAATAAATAATTTAAAGACACGTGGCATTTTTAATAGGATTCTAATCGGCCACATTCAAATTGAGGTTAACCGGCCTACAAAAAAATATTCGTGAAAAAGCGAAAACAAATAAAACTAGAACAGTTTCTGCGATTACACGTAACGATGCTCTTTTGTTTGTTTCTATAATTAGCTAGTGAAACTGAAATGTTTTTATTGTCTTGCAGAGTATGCTGGATCTCTTTTTTCAATTAAATATGTTTAAAATTCAAAGGGTACAACTGTTAAAAACTGTCTACAATTAGAACCATCCAGCCGCCAAGCACGTTACGTTTAGATTTTTAAAAGGCATATTGGTCTCATTAAAAAATATTAGTAGCCAATATTTGACAATGGTCTTTATTTAACATACCTTTAAATTGCTAGGTGCTGTGACAAGGCAAAAATCCACAACTTCTAATTTAACCTAGTTTGATTGTTCGTATAGCAGGCGTTGACATACTTTCCGATTATCTATCGATGTTAAAGCGACTGATTACTCCGATATGCTTAAAAGGTTTTAAAAGTCCATTACAGCAGTTTCTATTGTAAGCTTGATGATGTATGCCAATTTTCTTGCATTATTTTTATTCAAATAAAATGATAATTTTTAAACAAAGAATATTTATAATTTGACAAGGCATGCTTTCCATTAATTTATTAATTTCTTCTTGTAGAACATTTCCCCATTACTTTACAACTGCTTCTGTTAGGTTTTCTGCATTGCCAGGGTTATTTTGACGAGCTCTAATCCTTCTTTTAACCTTATTCCATAAGTTCTCAATTGACAAGCCAGATTCCTTTTGGGGTGGCGTCATGATTATTAAAAAACCATTAGACAAACATTAAGAGGTGCTTTCCGCGATTTTTTTTATTTATGCTGAATAATGCACCTTCATTTACCAGTAAAAATATCAAAAGTTGTTTAAAAATGAAAGGTGTAACTGTTTTAGAGTCGCCTTGTTCACTGGATACAATACAATTGAGCACTTATGTGGAAATGTTGCCCAAAAAGAAATTAACTTTAAATCACTTTTTTAATTAAAATACTATTTTGTTGTAATAATTGGGGATTCCATATAAGTTTGGT